CCGGGCCAGAAATCATGACGGGCCTTTCTGTTCCTTGGGTTTCGGTGTCCATGGGCTTAGCCCCAGGCCCCCAGGGCTATAAGACATACTGCCCAGGACGAAAGGTTTACCCCGGGGATGGAGTCGAGGGCTCGGGGAGCCCACGTTGTAATGTACAATCGTATCGTCGGGGTTTCGGGGCTGCTGCTGCTGCTGCTGCTGCTGCTGCTGATGCACCGGCTCCTCCTCGTCCTCTTGTTCGCCCTCTCATCTGCCCCCGTAGCCCGAGCACAGCGTGCACTGAGGGGGTCTCCCCTTCTTGTGCAGAACACCGGCCTCGTGCGCCGGCTGCTTGGCGCTGCTGCTGCTGCTGCTGTGTCCTCGCCGCTGCTCTCTGTTGTTGCTGCTGCTGCTGCTGATACTGCTGCTGCTGCTGCTGCTGCTGCTGCTTCTGCTGCTGCTGCTGCTGCTCCACCGGCTCCGCCTCGTCCTCCCCAGAGATCCGAGGATTTGTTTTTTTCAATCCGGCGCTTTTTCTGTAGAATTTGGCCTCCGGGGGCCCGCTATTGGGCCCGTAGTGGCCATCAAACATGGATCTGGGACGACAAACCATTCCCACTGCTGGGGCCGCGGATTGAAAACTCACATCGGCGGAGGTCTGGGTCCCTGTCCCTCACCACCCACCAAACCACCCCAACCCAACCCAACTCGACCCGGCTTCAATTTGCTCTCAATTTCCAGCGTGGGGGGGGGTCCGGGAACATCGAAAAAGCACATGGAACCCGTTCCCCCCTACCCAACCCGAAACTCGGGTCTTCGGGTTGGATTGGGTCAGGAGGGAAAGAAACACAAAGACACAAGTAATCGTCGACTCCCAGGAAATATGGGAAAATGTAGGAATGGGGGGGGGGAAGACGAAAACCCAGAAAATATGGGAAAATAGAAGGGATCCTGTTATTTGTGTGTGTGTGTGTGTGTGTGTGTGTGTGTGTGTGTGTGTGTCCCTGGGCACCTTGATTGGGTGGTCTGGTAGGTAGCGCGCGCGTCGCTTCCCTCAGAGCGAAGTCGGCCGACGGCACGGTGTGCGCGAGCCGCTGCCCGCCGCCCCCGCGCAGGGCCCCGGCCGGCCTCGCGCCCGCGCCCGTGCTGGGAGTGCGCTGGTGGCCCCGGGGTGCCCAGCCCGCAGGGGGCGGGGCCGTGGCTTCGGGGGCAAGGACAGGGTTACAAGTCGGGCCAGTCCCCCTACAGGAGAAAGATTCAGAAATGGAGTCAACAAACGGTTCTTCGACCATGCTTTGACTATTGTTGTAGATTGTTTGACTGTTTCCCATTTGTCGCCCAGTCTCCGGCTGTAGGGGGACACGCCCGACCTAACGATAGGGGGATAGGCACAGGGGGGGGATGCATCGACCCCCGATGGCCCATTGATCGCCGATAGGGGCCCGAAAGCCCCAACCTGCCCAGGAAGGTGTGGGCCCGCTATCGGCGGCCTATCGCCGATCTATCGGCGATGTATCGCCGATTCCAGGTCGATGTTCCCCCCCCCTATCCCTTTCCCCCCCAATCGTTGCGCCTCGTTCTTGCCTCCGAGAGCTGTTTTTCAGTGGTGGCCGAGAACCGAAACAAAAACAAACGGCATAACCATACATTTCCGACGCTACGCGCGGATTTCGTGAGTCTGCGGGTACCCCAGTGTTCTTCGGGTCTGCTTTTTGGGCATTTGGTTTTACTATGTTGGAACAGTTTGGGAATATTTGTCGGGTATGTTTCATTTTTCGCCCAGAATCCCTCTGTAGGGGGACAGGCCCGACCAAAGTCTAGGAGCTCACGCATCCCAGCAGCCGCTTTGGACGCACACGAACACCTGGGCAACGATCGAGTGCTGCTGGGCAGCTCACTTCGCCTTTGACCCGCGCAGTGGGCAAAGGGGGCCAAGCCCTCGGGCGCCTCGGGAGTGGGCAGCAGCCGCGCGCAGGTAGACTGCGCGTGGCAAACCTCCCACGCGTCTGTGACACCGGAAGCTCCCCGCCTGGTCGATGACTCCCGCCAGCAAGCCTGCCATCGCCTGCAAGGTGGACGGCACGTGTTCGCGTCCTGCGTCCCAGGCCTTTGGAGTCTTGTTCTTGTTGGAGACATGGGCCCCCGACCTTCTCTCGACCACTTCCCAGGGACCAGTTTTTCATCCCGAGCCCCTCTTTCTCGGTCCCGAGGCCTAGCAAGGCCCGGCAATGGCCCCGAGAGGCCGAGAACTGTGACAAGCGTCCGTTTCGTGTTTGTTCGAGGCGTCGGACGCCTGGGGTGCAAGCCTCCGCGTGTGGTGGGCACGCGGGCCTGCCCAGGGGCCACGGCACGGGGCTGCAGCCTCCGCGCCGCTGCGCGCGGCCTCGGTGCGACCTTGCAGCGCTAGAGCGGGCGGCTGCCGCCGGCAGGGGGCAGCCGACGGCACGTGAGAGTGAACCTTCGCCGGAGTGACCATGGGCCTGTCTTCCACCACCACCACCACCACCACCACCACCACCACCACCACCACCACCACCACCACCACCACCACCATAAATTGGAGGGGGAAGGAGGAGGAGGAGGAGGAGGAGGAGGAGCAGGAGGAGGAGGAGGAGGAGGAGGAGGAGGAGGAGGAGGAGGAGGATAAGGAGGAGGACCCCCTTCCCCTCCAACTCATGGTGGCGGTGGTGGGAAGCAGGCCCATCAATCGCGCTGCATGCGATGCGACGGCGGGCGGCAGCTTGCGCGGTTGGGTCTGGCTCCCCCGGCGGCCCCCCCAACCCCCGAGGCCCGGGCGAGGACGGTTGCGAAGGCCTCGGGGGCCCCCTCCGCGGGCGGCCCCCGCGGAGGCCTCCAGACGCCGAAACGGGGGGCCACAGGCGCTCCAGAGACCTCGACCCTCGAACCTCCTCCTCCTCCACCTCCTCCTCCTCCTCCTCCTCCTCCTCCTCCTTCCTGACGCCGCGCGCCAAAGGTTGCTCCTGCCGCCTGCCCGGGGCCACTCCTGCGGGCAGCCGTCCCTCCGTGGCCCGTGCGGCTCAGGGTCTTGCCGACAGGCCCGCGCCGCCTCCACGGCCTCCTCGCCCCCTCGAGCGATGGGCAGCCCTGGCGAGGGCGGCGGCAACTCGGCCCTGGAGCTGAAGCACCATGTGCTCAACGGCCGCCTGGCCCAGGCCAAGCGGCTGCTGGCGGCCACGAGGCTATCCCTGGAGGACTGCCAGGACGAGGACGGCAACACGGCGCTGCACTGGTGCGCGCAGGGCCTGCAGGCCGACGCCGAGGGCCGCGACGCGCCGGACGAGGAGACGCTCGTCTTCCTCCTCCAGTCGGAGGCGATGATCGGGGCGAGCGGCCCAGGGGTGAAATCCGAACCCTACGGAAGGTTCGCGTTGTGTGGACCGGCGGCGTCCCCGCCGCTGGCGTTCAACGTTTGAACGCCGCTGGCGACCCCAAATCGGGCGATATTGAATGATCTGACGTTTTGGAACGGCCGATCGTTCAAGGTCGAAGGTTTCCCGCGGTGTCAGAAGCCAATGCTGAAGTCGGCTCGATACGACCATCGGCGCCCCTGGACATTCGTATTGCACCCTCCCCACCCTTGGAGCCATTCGCCCCTGTCGTCGCCTCTGGCTCCAGAACGGCGCCCCCAAGAACCGGCAGAACGCCATCGGGGAGACGCCGCTGATGGCCACGGTGCGCTTGGCGACGCTGGACCCCGCGCGGGCGGAGGCCCTCATCTTGAATGAGAAACAGCGGCACGAGCATACACGTTCGGAGGTCCGCGCGGACGTCGTGGATAGGCGCCGCGGGCGGCGCCGTTGGCGCCGCCAGGCCCAGGGGCAGATCCCAGACGTCTGCGCGCCTCTCAGAAAGTGTACGCTCGTGCCCTTGTTCCTTCTTCTCGCCTCTCGGCCATGCTCACGAAGGGGCACGCCGACCCCTGCCGCGCGGACATCTCGGGCGAGACTCCGCTCATGGAGGCCGCCGCCGCGGGCCTGGAGGGCATCTCGAAGAAGCAGCCGCGGCACAACCGTGAACCCTCGGAGCTCCGCGGGGACTTCTCGGATCGGCGCCGGAGCTCGCCCGGCCGGCGCCGCCCCGCGGCGCGCTCCGCGCGCCCGGGAGGGCGGGGCCCCGGCGCCGATCCGAGACGTCCGCGCGGGCCTCCGAACGCTCCGGTCGATGCCGCCGCCTCTTCTCGTCGCATCGGCCGGCTGCTGCTGGAGCACCGCGCCAGCCCGCTGGCGGAGAGCTCCTCCGGGCTGACGGCGGCGCAGCTGGCGGAGGAGTCCGGCTCTCAGGAGGGAAAGAAGCACACAGACAAAGTTCATCGTCGATTCCACAGAAGATACGGGAAAATATGGGAAGTGGGGGGGAAGACAAAAGCACAGACAATATAGGAAAATATGGGGAATCTGTTTATTTGTGTGTATTTCGTTATTTGTGTGTCCCAGGGCCCCTTCAGGCTCGGAGGCCTTCGCGCTGCTGCTCCGGTCGCCCCTGGCGGAGCGCGCGGCCCGGGAGGCCCGCGCGGAGGAGGCGCAGGGCAGGAGTCGGCGCCGTGAAGACCGAGTCTGGTGGGCTCGTTTTCCACCGCCGCCACCCCATGTAGGAGGGGGAGGGGGTCCATCTTCTCCTCCTCTTCGTCCCCCTCCTCCTCCTCCTCCTCCTCCTCCTCCTCCTCCTCCTCCTCCTCCTCCTTTTCCTCCTCCTCCCCATCCTCCTCTTCGTCCTCCTCATCTTCCTTCTCCTCCTGTTCGTCCTCCTCTTCCCCCCTCCAACTGATCTGGTAGTGGTGGTGGAAAACAGGCCCATCGGATCCCCATCCCCACTGGGCCAGGGGCATCTCGGCCCCACCTCGAGCCGAGCATGTTCTTCGGGTGGAGGGCAAAGGGTGAAATCTTGAATGCCGTTTCGATCGGTTTTCGAAGCTTGAATCTGCAAAAGGTGAATCACAAAACGGATTGATTTTCGAGGCTCAGAAGCCCATATGGATTTCACCCTGAGCCCTCCACCCTGGAAAATGCTCAGTCGAGGAGCAAGGCATTGCATGAACATGCGCTTGCGGAGGTCCGCGCCGATGTCTTGGATCGGCGCTGGAGCCCCCTGGCGCGCTCCAGCGCCGATCGAAGAACTCCACGAGGACCTCCGAAAGTTTCTGCTCATTGCTTGTTCCTCGACCACCAGGTCAATCGCCCAGGTCCCGCGCAGCCCGCAGGGACTAGGTATAGGACCCTGGAAACGACAGGGCCGTTTCGTTACCGGTTCTGTTGTTCCGTCGTTTCCCACGCCGTTTCTTTACCATTCGCATCGCTATTTCTTGGTAGTTTCCGTCGCCGTTTCTGGCTGGTATTCGACGCCGTTCCTTTGCCGTTTTCGCCTGCCGTGTTTTCCCGCTTCTACTTCCGTCAAGGAGTCCGTGCCGTTGAAATTAAATCGCCGCTTGCCGTTTCTTTGCCGTTTTCGGTCCCCGTTTTTGTATCGTCGTCCGCCCTCGCTGAATGCCGTTTCCAGTGCCTTTTCTTTGTCGTTTACATTGCCGTCTCTTTGCCGTTTCCAGTTGCCTTTCCTTTATCGTTTCCATGTCCAATAAGATGTTGTTCGGAAGCGGCAGGTGTGTCCCCTCCCAGGGGGGCAAGTCGGCTGTTGGCCCGAAGCCACGCCAGTGGGGACAGGGATCGGTTCAGCGGTGCTCAAGGAGCGAGGAGGACTTGCAGAGGCAGAGGGAGCAGAGGCGCGAGAAGCAGGCGAAGAAGTTCGAGCAGACGCTGTTCGGGCAGCGCCTGCGGCCCGGCCTCGCCGCCGACAAGGACAGGCCGGGCAAGCCGTACCCGGAGTACGGGACCCTGCACGACATCGACTGAGCCCGCCCGCCTCGCGCCTGCCGGGGACGAGCAGCAGGGGAAGGACCGAGGGCGGCGGTCGTCCTCTCGGCGCCTCTCGGCGACGCTCCAGAGTGGCCCTTCGCCGGAGCGAGCCCTGGTCCGGGCCCACTGGCGCCCCCCCCCCGCGGCCGTTGAATGCGATGCGTCAGTGGCGGCCTGTGCGTTTGGGCTTGGCCCCCTCGCGCCTCCCCCCCCCCCCCCTGGGCTCCCCCCCCCCCTGGGAACAAAAACGTGCACCAAAGCCGTGCACCACATGTCACGCTCGCCCAGGGTGTCGCTCTTGCGTGCAGCCGAGCCTCTCAGAAGGGACTGGCCCGTCAGAACGAGGCTGAGAAGCCGGGCGACGGCTTGCAAACCCGTGTGTGCTAAAACGGAGTTCTTGGAAATTGTTGTTTCTTTCGGGAAGCAGCCCGTTTATTATTTAGTGCGCTGAGCTTGATTCCGGGAATTTGTTTTTCTCTTCCGGCAAGACCGTTTTAGCAGCCACGTATTTGCCAGCCCTCACCTAGCTTCAAGAGGCGCCGACGCACCTCATAAGAGGTGATGTGCCTTGTCGGACGGCCGCCCCCGTGATCCTGTTCCCGTGGGTGCGCCGCCGATGTTGCCCCCTCACCGCCCCGTAAGCGCTCAGATCGTCCGGCACCGCAGGCTGGCGCAAATTTGCTCCGATTTCTTGCTCCTTCCTGCTCCTGCAGGTGGCGCCACCTGGTGGCACATCCCCCCTGGGTCGTGCTTCTGGGCGGTCTGGAGCCTTTCAGGAGCCATCTCTTCCTCCTCGTCCTCCTCCTCTTTCTCGTCCTCCTCCTGCTTCTCCTCCTCCTCCTCCTCCTCCGCCTTCTGCTCCTCCTCCGCCTTCTGCTCCTTCTGCTCCTCCTCCTCCTCCTCCTCCTCCTCCTCCTCCTCCTCCTCCTCCTCCTCACACCTCCCCTCCTTCTTCTCCGCCTCTTCTCCTCCTTTCTCCCTCTCCCCCTCCTCCTGCTCCTCCTACCCCTTCTCCCCGCGATGTGTCGTCGCTGCATGGTGGCCATGTTGCAATTCTGGGTAGCGGAGGGGGTTTGCAGGGTCCTTTTAACCCCCAGCGAGCGTCTTGCAACGATGCGTGGTCATCTGATCAGTCATGCGGGCGAGGAGGAGGGGGGGAGGACGACGACGAGGAGGGGAGGGAAGCAAGGATGCTGAGGAGAAGGTGAGCGACGGGAGGTGTACAGGACGATGACGAGGATGATGACGATCTCACAGGGCGCATGCAAGACTTGGTATTTCCAAGAGTGGGTGCCGGCTTGTTGACATGCTGGCGAAGGGGTATCCCTGCCGAGCCGACCATGGAGAACCCGTGCGTTGGTCGCATTTCGGGGAGCCCCCGACAGACCCAGGAGGGCCCAGGAGCAGCCAGGAAGCCCCAGGAGGCCCCAGAAAGAATTGGAAGAACCCAGGAGGCTCCAACCGAGCCCAGCAGGCCCCTGCAGGGCGCGGGCGGCCCCAAGCTGTCGCCGCGTCCCGGCTCGGCGCTGTGCTCTGCTGACTCGATGTGGTTCTCACTTGGCCGACTTGCTGGCTGAGAGCGTGTGTCTGGCAGGTCCGCGCCGCGTCGCCGCGGCGGCGACGCCAGCGCGGGCGCTCCGCCGGCTGGCCAGAACCCGGCCAACCGGACGGTCAGACGGCTCGGCGACGCGCGAAGCGAGACGGCGGGGCGGCGACGCCTCGGCGCGCGCGCTCCAGGTTGAAGGCCGGCGGCGGCCAGAGCCGGGCCAGCCGGACTGTCAGCCAGCTCGAGGCGACGCGCGAAGCGCGACCCGTGGCCGGGGGGGCCTCCGGTGCGGGCCCGCAGGGCTTCCCCCCGGCGGCCGTTGGCGCGCTCGGCGCCGCCCCCCCCCGCCCCCGCGGCCCCCGAGAGCCGGGCACCGCAGGCCACTCTCGCTGTGAAGCCCCTCGACGGCGGCGGCGACGGCCACGGCGACGGCGTCGGCGTAGCCTAAGTCGGGCTCGTCCCTGTTCAGGAGGAATATCCAAAAATAGTCAGGGGACGAGTTCTATGTTTTGAAACTATTTTTTGATATTTTGGGGGTATGTTCGATTTTTCGCCCAAAATCCCCCCTGTAGGGGGACATGCCCGACCGGAGCGTAGCCGTGCACGGCCAGCGGCGGCGTCGGCGGCGGCGCCCCGGGGCGCCAGGCGCAGCCCGTCGCGCACGAGGAGGCCGCCCGCGACATCACCTCGGAGGCCTGGCCCCGGTGCACGGCCCGCGGGCGGACGCGTGCGCCCGCGGCGCCGCGGGCTCGTCCCGCCGGCCTGCGGCCTCCTCGCCCCTCTCTCCAGGCCGCGTCCTCCCTCCGCGCCCTCCCCGCGGCCTCGGCTCCTGCCTATGGCCGTCCTCTCCTCGGTCGTCGCCCTCTCCCCCCCCCTCTCCCTGGCTCTCTCTCTCTCTCTCTCTCTGCCTCCTCCCCTCCTCCAAGGGCGCCCTCGTCTGTTGCTTTCATCCTGCGGGGTGGGCACGCCGCGTGGCGGGCTGTGGGCTGATTGCACATGCAGTGCTGTGCTCGAGCTGTAGAGCACAGCGCAGAGGACTGGCGTGTGGGATCCGCCCAGCGGACGTGCTCATCCTCTCGTGCTCATGCCCTCCTCCTCTCACCTGCTCCCCCCTCCTGCTCTTCCCTCCTCCGCCCTCCCTTCTCCCCTCCTTCCCCCTCCGCCCTCTCCGTCCTGCTTGGTTCTCTTCGTCGTCTTACCCCTCGTCATCCTCTACTGGCACCTCCCCTCCCCGTCCTTCGAGTGGGGGGGGAGTGCCTTGCTGCGCCCCTGGGGCGCTCGTCACCACTCCAGGGCGCAAAAAGGGCATCCCCCGCTTGTCATCCGATGAGCCCCCCCAATCTTCCCCTCTCTCTCTCTCTCTCTCGGTCGCTCCCTGGGCAGCCGGCCACACGGTCCTTCCTCCTCCGCCCCCCCTGCCCCGGTTCTCTCTTCTCCCTCCTTTGGCTCCGCCTTCGCCCCGCCGCCCGGCAGGTCCGGCTGCTGCGCCAGCTGGACCACCCGAACGTGGTGAGGTGCCCGTGTTCGGCGCCACGTCCTCGGCATCGGTGTCGCAGTCGGCGGCGAGGGCGTCGGCGGCGTCGCCACCGTTGTCGCCGCCGCCGTCGTCGCCGTCGCCGCCGCCGTCGCCGTCGCCGTCTTCCTCGTCGTCGGCATCGCTGTCCTTGGACTGCGACTCGTCGTCGTCCTCGGTCTCCTCGTCTGCCTCTTCTCTTCCATTTTACTTTCTCGCTTCCCCATTCCCCCTTTTTCTCCTGTCTCTTCTTCTCATTCTCCCTCTCCCCCCTCCCCTCCTCCCTCCCCCTTTTTTCCTCATCATTCTCCCTCTTTCTCTTCTCCTTCCTTGCTCATTCCTCCATCTGTCTCGCTGGTTCTCTTCCGTCCTCGTCCTCCTACCTCTTCCTTCTCTTCCGCACCTCTCCCTGTTTCGTCGTCGGTTGCCACTCCATCGTCCCAAATCCTTCTTGTCTCAGTCGTTTCTCATGTTCTCTCTCCCCCTCCCCCATCCATGCTCCGCGCCAAATGAGTTCCGTCCCCTTCATTGGGGCACTCATCCTCATGAAGATCTCGTCATCGGAGCGCCATACGTAGGGTTCTTCGATCAGGCAAACGGTGTTCGCTTCGACTGCAGTGCTGATGCGAAGTGTCATTCCGCATGTGATTCATATGCCCCGACTGTATGGATGAGATGCACGTGGCTCGCAACAATGCTTTCTCACGTGATGCGTCCCCACATGTTGTCATAACAGTCTGGGACATTTGCAGCATCAACACATGTGGATGCTATGCTTGACAGAATCGAGCTCTGGTCCGAGACTTCTGCACTCATCGTGGCCGTCCGTCCCAGATGATCCAGCAGCTGCGCGGGCTGAGAACGGTCCAGGCCAAAAGACCTCACAATCACCTGACGCCCCCCAAGGCGCATGTTCTCAGGGCGGAGCTGGCGCCAGTTGCACAGACGTCGGGGACGGTTCACGCTGACTCAGCTGACTGGCTTCATGGAGCAAGTTCATGGGATGTCCTGCTTCACCGCCTTGCGTTTGCTGCAGAGCAGAGTTGCACGACTTTGAGGAGGCGGCTCTTCCAGAAGCTCGCCGTCATTTGACAC